GGGGCGAGGAGTGAGGGAAGTGAAAGGAGGCGGCGCAGCAGGCGGCGCGCTCGCATGCGCAGCCCGCGGCTCCATGCCTCCCATCGCCTGTCCTCCACGGTCCCCCGTCCCCCACCCCACCCACCACCACCACCACAAGCCCCGGGTGTGCCGCCCTCTGCCAGAGCGCTGCCAGAGAGGCCGCAAGCCAACTCTGAAAGCGCACCAAGCAAGCGGGACCGCGTGACCGAGGCCCCCCGGTGCCGCGCGACCTCGGTCACGCGGCCTCAGGACACCTCCCTGCACGCTCCCACTGCCCCCCCTCCCCCCCGCCGCGACGCTCAGTCGCGGCTGCGCGAGCGGCGGCGACGGTCGCGCGAGCGCGAACGGCGGCGATAGTCGTCGTAGTCGGGCGAACGCCTGCGTCCGCGGTCGTCGTCACGGTCGCGGCCGCGGTCGCCGCGGTCCGAGCCAAAGCGGGCGCTGATGGCGGCGGCGGCGTTCTGCGCCGCGCCATATGCAGCGCCGCCGCCGCCGCCGTAGCCGCCGCCGCCGCCGTAGCCGCCGCCGCCGTAGCCGCCGCCACCGCCGCCGTAGCCGCCGCCGCCGTAGCCGCCGCCGCCCCCAAAGCCGCCCCCAAAGCCGCCGCCGCCGCCGCCCTGCCCGCCGTGCGAGTACTTGCAGCGCGCGCCGCGCTGGCAGTTGCCGCGCTTGAAGTCGCCGCACTCGTCGGGCTTGTTGACAGCTTGCGGGATCGTCGCCGCCATCTGCGCCGCCTGGGCGGTCATCATGCCGCCGCTCGGGTGCGGCTGCAGCGCGGAGCGGTCGTCATACGGGCGGTACGTCCCGCTGCGCAGGCCTGCCATCTGCGCGATTGGCCCCGGGATCGCCTGGTCCGCCTTGACCATGATCTCGCACAGCGCGCGCGCGTACTTGCCGTCCTTTTGCCCGTCCATGAAGGTGTGCGCCTCCCCCTTGGCGCCGGCGCGGCCGGTGCGGCCGATGCGGTGGACATAGTCCTCAATATTGCCCGGGAAGTCGTAGTTGATGACGGCCTTGCACTCCTTGACGTCGATGCCGCGCGCGGCCACGTCGGTCGCGATCATCACTGGCCGGCGGCCGCTCTTGAAGTCGGCGAGGACAGCCTCGCGCTCGCGCTGGTCCTTGTCGCCGTGGATGACGCCGCTGCCGATCTGGCGGCCGAGCTGCATGCCCAGCTGGTCCGCCATCCGCTTGGTCGACGTGAAGACCAGCGTGCGCGTGCCCGCCTCGAGCGACTGGAAGATGCGCATGAGCATCTGCTGCTTCTCGCCCGGCCCGCGCGTCACGTGCACGTACTGCGTGATGTCCTTGTTTGCGTTGAGCGAGTTGATGTCGCCCACCTCGACCTGCACAGGCGACCGCATGAACTCGTAGGCCAGCGCGCGCACCTGCTTTGGCCACGTGGCCGTGTAGAAGAGCGTCTGCCGCTGCGGCGGCACTTGGCGCACAATCTTGCGGATCTGCGGCTCAAAGCCCATGTCGAGCATCCGGTCCGCCTCGTCAAACACAAGGTAGGCGACCTGGTGCAGCTGGATCTGGCCCGACTCGAGGAAGTCGTTGATCCGCCCCGGCGTGCCGATTACCACGTGGCACCCCTGCCGCATCGCCATCAGCTGCTGCCCCTTGGGCGCGCCGCCGTAGCAGCAGACGGACCGGATCCCGAGCGGCAGCCCAAACTTTTGGCACTCGACCTCGATCTGCATGGCGAGCTCGCGCGTCGGCGCCAGCGTGAGCAGGGACGGTCCCTGCATCGGGTTGACGCGCTGCTGCTGGATGTACATGAAACCCGGCACGAGGAAGCCGAGCGTCTTGCCCGAGCCGGTCTTGGCGACGCCAATCAAGTCGCGCTTGGCCATCGCCGCGGGCCACGACTGGGACTGGATGACGGAGGGCTTGGTGAAGCCGGCCTTGGCGATGGCGTCCATGATCGGCCGCGGCAGCTGCGCCTCCTCGAAGGAGAGGAACGGCGGCGGCGAGCCGCCGTACACCTTGAGGTCGTTCTCCTTCCAGAACTGCGCCACCTCGGTCGACGCCGGCTGGTCGACGCCTTGGTCCTGCACGTCCTTGTAGTTTGTGTTGGCGGGGCGCGAGAACTGGAGCCCGATGGCGTCGCGGTCGTAGCCGCCGCCGCCGCCGCCGTACCCGCCGCCGCCGTACCCGCCGCCGCCGCCGCCGTACCCGCCGCCGCCGCCACCGCCGCCATACCCTCCTCCGCCACCTCCTCCTCCGCCGCCGCTGCCGTTTTGGTATTGGGTGTACGAGCCCGAGTTCTGCGCCTTGGCGGGGTCAAAGTCGGCGGGCTTCTCGTACTGCGACGCGCCCGTCTCAGAGTGCCAATAGTAGGTGTGCCCTGCGCCGTCGAGCGCGGTGTTCCACATGTTCAGTGGCGTCTGCGCGCGCCGGGGAGGAAAGCTTGAGTGGCGCGGCGGGGGCGCGCGCGCGGGGGGCGGCTGCGGGGGTGGGGGTGGGGTGGGGGGCGGAGCGCCGTTCGACCCACGGAGAGAGCACAGGCGGGGGGGTGCTGGCAGAGCGCGTGCCTGGCTCTGGATTCTGCGCGGCGAAAGAAACACGACCTCGCGCGATCAAGCACGCGCAACCTCCCTGCTTGTGTCTGTGTGTCGCTCGTGCGTGTCGTCATCATCTGTCCAGCGTCCACCCATACCGCGTTGGTGTCCAGTCCGAGCCTGACTGTTCTTCGCCTTCCTACATACATACATCCCTGCTGGCGTTATCTGCCGTTCCTCCACCCCTCCTTATCCGTTTTCTTTTCCTGTAAAATTCTTTGCTAACGCGTCCCCAGGGATATTAGCCGCGGAGATCGATAGACTGGATGTAGAGATCGATGCATGCCAAGCTGGCTGCCAAGCATGCATGCCAGCTGGCTGCCCCCATCGCCATCCATGAGCGACTCCTTCTTTCTGCGCGTCCTAGAAAGAGAACGTGATTTCTTGTTGGTTAATAAATCTCTCTCTCTCTCTCGCGTCCTTTGGTCTGCAACTAAAAGAAGAAAGAGTATGGGATCGCGTGCAATTTGACTGCATTCAATCCATGCTCCCGAGCAGCGAGCTGAGGTCAATCACATGCAATCACATGCAATCAACGCAATCCAGTGGGATTGCGCTCGCGCCCACTCTCAATTGCGTCTCTCCCCCTTTTTCTTTCCACCCCACGCGAAGAAGAAATGCTGCTGCTGCTGCTGCTGCTGCTGCTGCTGTTACGTCTTCGGTCCCCGCGGGAAGCCCCGCGCATAGGACAACAACGTCTGTCCCACACACACACACAGACGCGCACATACATCATGCTCGGGCACACCCCACAGTGTAGTGGTGTGAGTACACAAGTACTAGCAGAGTGCACACCCCTGCCTTGGCGGGTGAGGGTCGTAAGAATCAAAGCCTCTTGGTGCCAAACGTGCTCGAGCGCGCCGAAGAGAGACGATCTACGCTCGAGGGAGTTAGCCAAGCCTGGATTTCTTCTCCTCGGCGGGCGAAAAGAGAAATCCATACTGATAAGGTTTCTTTTTTTCATCCCCTACCTTCACACTGCTGTGAACAGGTGCCGAACCCATACTGTGACCTCAGAACATATGCATATGCGGGGTGTGTTCTCTCCAACTCAGCGCCAGCTTCCAGCGCCGCCGGCCCGCCTTCTCGCTTCTGTCACCGCCGGGGCGATTGTCTGAGAGTCAAGAGGATGCGGGCCACGCCTCAACCTTCTTGGGCAGCAGCTGGCTCATCAGGTCCTCTCCGTGGCCTAGGCAGCCGGTCTCACCCTTGCCCCAGGCAAAGATAGCCCCATCGGCGGTGAGGGCGAGGCTGTGGATGCCTCCAGCCGACACAGCGATGACGCGCTGCCCCGCAAAGGCCTCGACCTTCTTCGGCAGCGGCTGGTGCTGCTGGTCGCCGTGGCCCAGCTTGCCTGAGCCTCCAAAGCCCCCGTCCAGACCGCGCCGTCGGAGGTGAGGGCGAGGGTGTGGTTGGCGGCAGAGACAGCGACGACGCGCCGCCCAGCAAAGGCCTCGATCTTCTTGGGCAGCAGCTGGTGCTGCTCGTCGCCGTGGCCCAGCCGGCCTTGGCCTCCATAGCCCCAGCTCCAGACAGCGCCGTCGGCGGTGATGGCGAGGCTGTGGTTGCCTCCAGCCGATACGACGACGACGCGCCGCCCAGCAAAGGCCTCGTTCTTCTTGGGCAGCAGCTGGTTCTGCCTGTCGCCGTGGCCCAGCTTGCCGTAGTCTCCATCGCCCCAGCTCCAAACCGAGCCATCGGCGGTAAGGGCGAGGCTGTGGAACCTTCCAGCCGACACAGCGACGACGCGCTGGCCAGCAAAGGCCTCGATCTTCTTTGGCTGCAGCTGGGTCTGCTGGTCGCCGTGGCCCAGCCGGCCAAAGGTTCCATAGCCCCAGCTCCAGACGGCGCCGCCGGCGGTGAGGGCCAGACTGTGTGCAAATCCAGCCGACACGGCGACGACGCGCCGCCCTGCGAAGGTCTCGACCTTCTTAGGCAGCAGCTGGTTCTGAGTGTCCCCGTGGCCCAGCTTGCCAGCATGTCCTTCGCCCCAGCTCCAGACACAGCCGTCAGCGGCGAGGGCGAGGCTATGCTGCGTTGCAGCCGACACGCTCACGCCCCGCTCGCCCAACGGAAGGCGGGTCGGCGTGATGAGCCGCATCACGCCCTCACCGTTCCCGAGCAGTCCCGGCGTCCAGCTCTCAGCCTTTCCGCACGACAAGAGCCGCCCCTCGCCGTCGATGAAGAGGCTGTGCCGAGCGCCTGCCGCTGCCCTCGCCGGCGGGTTGGCCTCGCACAGCAGCGCAGAATAGCACAGCCATCGTACGGCACAGCCCTCGCCATCTGGCAGCGCCGGCAGCTCGAAGCCGCGCTCTTGCGCCCACAAGCGGATGCCCTCCACCGCTAGTGAGGCGTGGAAGAGCAGCGAGACGGCCGCGACGCGAGCGATGTCGAGGGGGCTGTGGCAGTGTGAGAGAGTGCGCGCGAGGAGCTCCGTGGGGAGGTCGAGGAGGCGGGTGGGCGGCGGCGTGTTCGGCGAGGGGGCGGCGGTGGAGGAGGCGAGGCGACGCGAGCGGCGGCGCGGCGGGGTGGACATCGCGAGAAAAAGAATTTTATTACGCGAGCCCCTCTCACAGCAGACTGGCTCGGACTGGCGAGAAAAAGAATTTTACGCCAATTCCTCGCACGACACAGGCCTGCGAGCGGGGCGGGGTGCGCACTGTCCCTCTGTGTTCGTGCGTCGCCCATCTCTCCTGGAGATGTCTGCTCTATTTATTTATTAGGGCACGGGACTGGCGCGCACTGGCACTAACACAGAGCGCGCACTGGCACGAACACAGGTACACCACGATGTTAGTGCCAGAGCGCGCCAGCCGCGCGAGAGAAAGAATTGAAGGGTACACAACCAACCCCCCGGACGCAAGACGCACAAGCACAGACAGTCCACGAGAAGGGAGAGCAGCAACGACAGTCAGAAGTCAGCGCTGGGTACCAGGAAGGCTTCACACGACTGGATGTGCGTTTGAGAGAGAGAGAGAGAGAGAGAGAGAGAGAGAGAGAGAGAGAGAGAGAGAGAGAGAGAGAGAGAGAGAGTTTTGTTTTGCGGTTGATGACTGCACGCTGAGTGCTCCAAGCAGGGCTCTAGGCAAGTCACCGCGAGTTCTGTTTTCTTTTTTGCACGACACTTGCCTTGTGAGCTTGTGTGTGTCGGTGTGTCGCTCGAGCGTGTCGTCGTCATCTGCCTCAAGCGGCGTGCCGGTGGAGGCACGTCCAGGTTTTGGAAGTAAACATCTATTACTTTTGTACAGGCCGCTTCACACTCGAAACAATAGTTGCAAATCACGTGCCCGGACCCTCACAGTATATTACTCGGGTGCCGCCGCACACCTGCTCCTCGAACCGCCCCAGCAGCGGCGCCTCGACCTCCGGACTCAGCCGGCCTTGCACCTTCGGATCGAGCCGCGTGGCGAGGGCGAGGGCGGCGAGCGAGCGGCGGGCGGGGTCGGAGAGGCTGCTTGCCCCACCTGCTCTCTCGCCCAGAGGGTCGACGGCGACGCGGAGGCTGCGCCACGACGCCGCCGCCCACTCTAGCAACCGCTGCAACTCGCCACCGCCGCCATCACCGCCACCTCCATCACCGCCACCTCCATCACCGCCACCTCCATCACCGCCGCCGCCATCACCGCCGCCGCCATCACCGCCGCCGCCGCCGCCGCTTTCGCGGCCAGATCCGCGCGCCGAACCGCCGCGCGCCTCCGACGCGGCGGCGACGCGGTGCACGTAGCCGACGACGGCGCCGGCGATGTCGTCCAGAGCCAGGGACATCCCCGCCTAACCCGGACGTGTCCTGGACGTGTCGCGGACGGGTGGCTGCGCCTCGGCGTCAGCGGGCGGCATCCCCCGCCTCGCGCTGAGCGGGGGGGAGCGAGCGGCTACGCACGAAACGGAGGAGCGACTCGGTGGCCGGCAGTGTGTGCGACACTTGCTTTCGCACTGAGACCTGTCCACACTCGGTGGCGGGCGGCGGCGCGTGCGGCACCAGCCGCGGCACGTCGCCCGAGAGGCCGAGGCGCAGCAGCGGCACCGCGCAGAGCGGCAGCAGCGAGGAGAGTGCCGCCTAGGGACGGCGGCTGTGCGCGATCAAGAGCAGAGGAGTGGAGGACGGCGGCGCAGCAGGAAGGGCGCCTCGAAAGAGTCGTCGCCGAGCAGGGCCACAAATGAGCGACCCGCCTGACGGGGACGTGTCCCGGACGTGTCCTGGACGTGTCCTGGACGTGTCTTGGGCGTGTCCTGGACGTGTCTTGGGCGTGTCCTGGACTGGCGGCGTCTCTTCTCGCCACAACGCGCCGACGCCTCGACCAGCTCCGGTTGCTCTTGCGGCGCAACCTCGGCTACAGCTCACGCTACAGCCCCTGCCCCCACGTCCCCACTACACCCTCCGCTCTCCCGTGCGGTGCCTCGAGCTCGTGCGACGCCGCGAGCGCCGCGCGAGCAGCCGCCAGGCAGCCTCCGCCTCCTCGCCGCCGAGGGCTTCCGAAGCCGCCGCCTCCTCCCCCGCTGCGCGGGCGTGCAGCAGCAGCAGCTCCGCCGCGGCTTCGGCCGAGGCGAAGGGCGCGCGGCCGTCTTCCCAGCGGGCGGCGGCCTGGCTGGCGATGGCGGCGGCGAGGGCGCGGCGGAAGGGCGGCGGCAGCCGCTTGGCGCACGCCTCCACGTAGCGCCGCTTGGCCTAGGAGGAAAAGGAATGTGTGGCCGTCGCAGCGCACTTGTGACGAAGGCGCCTCCGCGTGCCGCCTCTCGGCCTTGGGGGCGAGCGAGGTGGGCTGGCAATCTCGTGTGATCTCGTGTAATCTCGTGTGATCTCGTGTGATCTCGCCTTGGGCGCG